AATTGAAATTAATGCTTTTGTTGCAAGTCATCGCGTGAAATTGATGACTGTAATTGCTTTGATATGATTATCTATCCTTTAAAAAATAAAACGAAAGAACATCTCAGTTTCAAGGACGTCAGCAACAAATTCTTTGTTTCACTCAAAAACTAGTTATTGCTATAAATCTTATCAAATGAACCAGATATTTGTGAAGAACGTGATGTTCAAAGAATGATTTCAAACTCAAAAATTTAAGAATTTCTGACAAATCCAATTTATCAGTGATAATTATCCGATAAAATTAATTAATGAATCAAACCACGTTTCAACTCCTGCTAGTTCTCTATCAAATTACTGAGTTCAGCGATTTCCAATCACAGGTAAGTAGAAACACTGAAAGATGCAATCCATTAAATGGTCGTCTAGTTTGTTTCCTTGAAGTTACTCCGATCTTCTAAAGTTCAGAGAACTGGGTAATGAAATTCTTTTGCGTTCACCTTCTTTTTCAGACCGATTAGCACCTTTCAAGCACCTCAAAATTTACACCAATAAAAAATATTGCTACCAAGGTCAGAGTAAATGGAAAAAATTTTCTGACAAAGAAAGGGCCATGGTCAGCTACCTTAGAAAGGTAACCCAACGCATAGAAGGGCGATTCTTCAGAAAGTGAGATATTCAGGATCATAAAACTATTAAGTCCTTTTTAAAAAATTAATAGTATTTAGAAATTTAATCTACACAAATTGACTATCATTGAAATTACACTTATATTTGATGAACGTACATTTGATGAAGCAAATAATTTTAATGTTGATTAAAAAAGGAAAAAAATTTGAAGCATAAATCGGACAGTCCAGACAGGGTCAGAGGAGACAAAATCTTGAAAAATAGTTTTTAGTATTAACCTAATTAGGCTTAACCCCCATTCTTCTTAAACACATTTTTCATACATTTATTTCGTTATTTTGTAATTATTTAGGTTAAAACAAGGGAAAATATTATATTTAGCATTTTAATAATTTAATGCTTCAAAATACTGAATTTGCAAAATACAGCTATTTTTGGTTAAAGGTAAAATTTTCCAAACACGGCTAGCTTCTGATCAGTTTTTCAAATTTGCACTTATTAGATGTTATTTAGAACTAAAAGAAACAATTATTCATTACTGAAATTTTTAAATTTACAAAATCAGTTGTTGACAATTTTTTGAATATGAATGAAGAAAAAAAATTCTGACTGCTTTTTCTTAAATTTTATATTTTAATACTCATATAATTCCAATAATTAACAGATTTTTTTGGTAACTATTAGACAGGTTTTTTAATTAAAAAGTAACATAATATAATTTTCGTTGTAGTTAGAGAGTCAGAAAAAAATATATAAAAGGGACACTGGTGTCCCATCTGCTGCGTCAAAGGGTTAATAACCTTATTGTGTATGCGCGTGTGTGTGTTTTAAACTAACCCTCAGAGGGATTATAAATTACGAAATATAAACTAATCTATTAAAAAACATAAAGAAAGGGGGACAATGTTGACAATTAAAAAGAATATTTTTACTTTTAAGATTTGAATGCATAAATCTAACTTTTAGTGTGAAAATTTACTACATTTCAACTACATGTGAAGAATAAATAGTCGCACGAGCAATTTATTCCTATTTCATACATTATGTGGCTTTCTACACTGTAAAAATTTCCAGATCAAATTACGATATGAAATACTTTTTTTATGTATCATCCGTAAAATCAATTTTACCCAAAAATCCATATTTATCTCCCGTAATTTTTACGGTAATATTTATCAGAGTGATTCAGTAATTTTATGGTAAATATTATTGTTAAAATTGCGACTTATCAGATTTTTTGTTCAGAACATTTTCCGGTAAAAATATATTTTTCTGTAAAAAGTACCTTCATTTTGAGTGCGGGTATTTCTTACAGTGTAGTGATCAATTTTACAATATTCAGAGTAAAGATTTGTAGTAACAAGTTAATTAAGAGATTGAATTTTTCTGATACATTGTGGAAATATAGACAGACCGGGGAAAGAAATATTATATATTTCTAACAACCTTAATATGTGGTTACAAAAATATGTATTCTACATGCTTTGTGAATAAATTGAAAATTTACTTTTAAAGGGACAAAAGTAACATTTCGCTACTTTTCTCCCTCATTTCCCTGTGCCATATTTATCATCTATTTTTAAAAAAACTAAAATCAGAATACGTTAATAGTTTTTTAAAAAAAGAAAAAATCTTTGTAATGCTAAGGACGCAATTGTCGAACTTTCTGCAGAATAGCCTATGAATGAACAAAATATGAAAGGATAGATATAGTAAACTTTAGTAAACAAAACAGATGTTGTAAACTTTAGTTAACAAAATAGATGTAGTAAACTTTAAAAATAATCTTAAGTAATCAGTCGATTCGGAAATCCCCCTCTCTCTAACGATAGCAACCGCACATTGATAAGAATTCTGGTACAACTACCTTACTATGGTAATAACATTTCTGAAAGAAAAAAACATTATTCTATTATTCTGGTTGAAAAAAACTAAAATAAACGGTATTTAAACCCTTTTTCCATTCCCATGGTAACGGATTTGCTAGAAATTCTGGTATTCAAAATTTTAGTTCTAATTTCAAAACTGGAAAGTAAATTTAACCAAATAAGTGGGTTTTTTTCCCTGCTCCATGGTAACATGATAAAATAACAATATTTTACCACATTTATCGAATTTTATCACCTGAAAATAACCGTGCTTTTCAGTGCTCTCATAGAGCCAGAAACATGGTAAATTTTACCATATTCTGGTAGTTTTAGCCACACTTTTCTATCTCAGTGAAAGATATTTTGCCAAACGCCTCTACTTATTTTGTAAACAAAGGTCCACTTTTTTCGATTTAATACTTTTTTGTCACTAAAATCTTTATGAATTCATGTATTTAAATAAATTTGCAAAAACAATTTTTGTAAATAAAATTCAAGGAGTATTTGAAAAAAAAGCATACTTTTTCTAAAAAAAAAAATTTAAAAAAAAATCCTATTTTTTATTTAAGTGAGATTTTCTTACATTTACCAATCAAAACTCAGATACAGTATATGAAAAAAGTTAAATACCATTTAACACTTAATTATTAATTCAAGATAGATATCCTTATGCATTTGAAACAAAAAGACCGGATTTGAATTTTCCTTTCATAGAAAACAATAGAAAACACAAATCATGTAACTCAAACAAATATTATTTTTGAGGACAGAAACTAGCTAAGTTGATAATTTCCCAAGAAAGTATGAAAAAATTATTTATCTTATCTGTCATTTGTGATGAACCTGCTGTTATTTTGAATATGATAAATTCACACATGGATTTGATGTTGGAAAATAATAAAATACTCCTAATCAAAAGATAACATTTCATTTAAATATGTTGAATTGTTTTGCGTAATAGAAAAATGAAGGTAGTAAAATAGCCGAAATTGTGATCAAACTGATGATTTTTGAAAATAACAAACAAAATTATTCTAAGTTGATTCAGTATACATTTAAACAAGAAGATAATTTCCTAATTTATATGAGGTGTTAAGTTTAAGTAAATGCAAGAAAATCTAATAAAGCACTAAAACATTAGTACTTTTCTTGCAATTTTTCTTTCATTTTATGCAGTCGTTTGTGTTTAAAAGAAGCGTTGCGGTTATACAATATTATTCATTTTTTATTTAAATATTATATGTTTTAATGCTTTGTGTGTTTTAAAAGAAAAAAAATTGACACTTTTCCTTATATATAAAATAATTCCATCTTAAATTTACCTTTAGTTTTTATCACCTAACTCGTATTTTTCAGTTGAACTATACTGCATAACTTGACTACTGTACTACTTGAACTACACGGTATAAAGTACCATTTTACAGTAAAATTCCTTTTTACAGTAAAATATAATACCGTTATTTTAACAGTAATATTTATTTAGTTCGAGTTATTCAGCCACTTTATGGTAGGTTTTAGTAATATCTATGGTAATAGTAGTATATATAGTAGGTTATAATAATATAAATAGGTTGTGTAGATAAATATACCACCGATATTTATCAACACAACCTAAGAAAAAAATCACGGTAAAACTACCGTACTGTTTGGTAATGGCATTTTTGGTAAAAAAAAAAAGAAGAAAAAAAACATAATTCTGGTAACCAAAATATACAGTATTAAAACCATTCATTTGGTAATTTTTCAATTCATGTGGTAACGGATTACCGGAAATTCTGGTTATCAAATTTTATAGCTCTTATTGCCACACGTTTTGTAAAGAATACGAAACTGAAAAGTGAATTGAACAGATCAAAAGGTTTTTATGCCATGCTCTAAAGCATCATGTTAAAATTATCAAATTTTGAGACACTTACCAAATTTTATCCCAAATTATTAAACCTTACTTTATTGTTAATTTTATCAATTGTTAATTTTTTATTGTTATTTTATCATGACCTAAGTACTGCTATAAAAATTACTGAACTTTCTTGGTGTTCTCATAGAGCCAGAACTACTGTAATAGTCTGCCATTCCGAATCAAATACGGTATAAAGTACCATTTTACAGTAAAATTCATTTTTACAGTAACCGTTATTTTAACAGTAATATTTATTTAATTCGAGTGATTCAGCCATTTTATGGTAATTATTACTGTAAAAACTACGGTATATCAGATTTTTTTGTTCCGTAACATGTTCCTGTAAAATTACCGTACCATAATTTGATTCTGAATTTTTTACAGAGTGCAGTTTTAACCATACTTTTTTCTCGGTACGCGTTTAGAAATCTTACATACATTTAAAAATAGAGTGAATCTGTAGACTCAAGTTTTACAACAGTTAATTATTAGTCTCTGACGTAAATTCTCTTAAATTGGTAGATTAATTAAAAAGTGGTAGTCATACGAATCAATGAATGAAAAGTGATGTATAAGCAGTTTCAAATTATAAAATTTAAATGAGACTTATATTATTTACTTACCCTAAAAGTTGATCGAATTCTACCCATCGGTGATAGTAATTGAAACTCATCTTAAACTTTAAAAGTAATGTGACATCGCAACTTAACTTGATAATATAATGTTTATACTTTAAATGTTTACTTTTAAAATTATTGTTTGTTGACAATAATTGTTAAAAATGTTTTTAAATGAGATAGTGTGGATGAAAATAATTTCTAACTTTTTATTTGAAAAATAAAGATAAAATCAATTCAATGACTTATGACTCTTTCCCCGTAACAGTTATTTCTAGTTATTTTTTTCAATTTTAATCATCGCTCAGAATATTGTAATCACATAAATTATGTTCTTTTTTTTCAATTACTTCCAGCATATTTTTCTACACTACGCATTTAGATTTAAATTAGAGTGCGTACAGATAAAAATAATACGAATCTTGTTATCGCAAGTGTCATACACTGAAATTTAAAGGTGAAGTGCGAAAAAAAACGGATTACTCTGAATAACTTTATTTAAAAGATTCATTTCCTTAACAGAATCATTTCAAAGAATCATCATCATTTTAAGGAATGTTATTTTACAAGACAAAATGTAAAATTCGGGAGAAATTGGTTGAATAGTTCCTGAGAAAATGAATTTTAAATTACGTTTCAAAAATTGTCCGACTATTAATAAATATAATAGTAAAAAATAATAAATATTTGCTAAAGGTTATTTTTTTGCATAAAATTTTCTTAGTAAATTAATAAATCTTATAATTGTGTGATAAATGCTTCAATTCAGTTTAAAAAATTTTGAGATATAGTGAAATACTCAAAAAGTAAAATTTACATTAAGGATAAAATTGACAAACTTATTTGACAGCTCTCCTGACTGAATTATTGATGGGGCCATATTTACCAGATTGCGGCTCAACCTTATAAATTGGTGTTCAGAAATCCGAATACTTTGAAAAAGATATATTTATTCAGAGAAAATACATTTATGTTTCTGATTTTGTTACTTAAAATATTGTCTGCTCTAATTAATTAGCATATTAAGTCAACCCCTCAAACCAAAGATTGAGTCTTAGAACGTGAAGAACAGATCGTTAGATCAAAAGATATTCAGGGTGGTCCATTTATTATTTTTATTGCATGCTGTACATGGGGCAGTTTTTTTTAACTTTCATTTCTTGTTCCAATTATAATATTTTCAAGAACTAAATGCCAGTTTAAATGGCTCAAAGAGTGACTTTTGAGTGAGCTAATTAATTAGTTGTAACTATTAATTAGTCAGAAGATATAGGAACAGATAGCTCTAAAAATGTTTATTATCTATTTTAATTTAGTGTATCTTAACATAAAGATATAGATAGACTAGGTGTCGTCTTTTCAATGGTTAAATCGTAAATGAAGATTTACGTAACATGTAACAATAGATCATTCAGTTTGATGATAATCAACAGTTGACAGAGCAAGACTAGTGATAAACAGAGATGAACATGAACTACAGCAAAGTTTGTTTATTCTTTCCTGGAATCGCCAGTCAAGTGAACTTATTTATGTCGGTAAGTAGTCCTTTAGTCGGGAATCAATTAAAGAAACGAAAGCAAGTCGTCAGAGATCAAAAGGTTAACAAAATATTTTAAAGGAAATATAAACTTTATCTATGGTTTTTTTTTTCCTTCTCTTAAAATGTTTAAAAAATATTCTAATTTAAGTACACTTTTTTCTTTTTAATTTTTTCCACATGTCTGTTGAATTGTTCTCTGTCAATATTGTCTACCCTCTCTAAAAATTGTTATGGATGGTGTTTTCTACACTAGGGAACGCTGCAAGCCCGGTACTGCCTAAATTTCCGGGTTACTGCTTCCGTTGTATTTTAAAGCCATTTGACATCATTGTGTTTTGAGATTCTTGCAAACAATTTATTTGATTACTTATTACTTGTGTTTACAATGCTAAAAGTGTTAACACTAAGGTAAGATGGTGCACAGCTTGCAAACAAGAACAAACAGTAATAAACTTATGGGAAGAGGCTAAATCAAGACTGCAAAAAAAAAGCGAGTTATTCAAAATCCAGCAACCATGTCACCTTTTTTAACAATATATCTCTAAATAACTAAAACAAATTTTCTCTTCTAACTCACCAGTTACATAATAACATTAATATCTTATGAAATACGGCAGATTTGAGCTCAGAAATTATCTAATTTATTTCTTTTATTGAAAACAAAGTAATCCGTTCGAAAATATCGCCTCGCAGAATAACATATAGTAAGCAGCTGCAGACTTTCTAACCGGAACTAGAGCAGGCACAGCTCGAGATTGTTATTGTTTACATTTCTACTGAAAACACCATCCATATTGAAATAATCCATACTTTCACTTTCTACTTTTTTTCAGAATTTTTTGCCGATTAAATGAGTTGAAAAGGAGAGCTGTACAAAACAGGGGATAAAATATTCAGCATTTTTGACTAAACAACTACTGCTGGTATTTATCCCAAATCATGAAACCTAGATGCAGTAAAAATAAAATATATTCAAAATAAAATTTAAGCAATTTTGCTTACGGAGTTGTTAAAGGGAAAAAAGAAATTTTAAAGACCGGGCTTTGTACAAATTTCCCCCAGAAATTTATGAAATACATACATAATTTATTTTTTAAATTGCCAATTACAATTTAAAAAACAATTATATTTTGCTGCGAAAATATCTGTTACCAAAACTGTTCAAATGTTGTTACTAAAAATTTGACTTCAGTAAAAACTTTGCAGTGGACTACAAATATAATTTAAGGAGCTCATTTTAAAAAAGTTTTGTAATTTTAATAAATAAAAAAAAATTCAATTTTGAAATGCATAGAAACATCAAAAAGTAGTTTGAAAAACTTTTATAACTTTCAACCAACTATAAGAAGACGCAGAATACATAAATGTTCTATTGCATCCAGTCGCAACAGCGTGTTCTTCATCCTCGAAATATGAGTGGTTCACAATGTTTCTATTTTTTCTCTCAATAAACTGTAAATTGGTGTTCATAATCCCAATAAACTGTACATGAATGTTAATAAAGCTGCATTTAAATAACATATGTAATTTCGTTTTATTTGTCATTTGAAAACAGAACCTAGAACATATATGTATCAGAAAAATATTAAATTTCATTATTTAACACTTTTTGCACTTAAAATATGCATTTTCCCAGATTTAGTCTCTGTATGATTAATATTTAGAATTTCTGATTACTTCATAGTTTCATTGAAAATAATTTAAACTGATCGATATATCTTTTTTTTTAGAGTAAAAGTTTAGCGTTGTACCTGCTATGAGTCATACCAAGCGTTGTTGAACAACCCCCCATCCCAATTTTTTATTTTTTTTTATTTTTAAGATTCGAAATTTTTACGAACCAGTTGCGTGCCAGGCGTCATAAAAAAATTTACTTCAATTCTATGTAAAAGTTGCCCAATCAAAACAACTAAGTACGATCGAGAATTGAAAAACGATAAGTATGTTAAGTAAGGAAGTCGAAGTAGATAAACGCTTAAAACAATTTTGATATTTTACTATAAGATCATTTGATTTAATATTTTTAATTTGATACGAGTAAAATTCGTTACATTTTTCAAATACTTTTGCATGACAAGCAGAAAGTGAATAGAATTTATCAACTTAAAAATTTTGTTTAAAAAAACACGTACTAGTAAAAATTTATCAAATATGTTTAGAATCACTATTTAATAAGTTCAATTATAACCAAAGAGATTGCATTCTTCTTCCCTTTTCTATGCATATAAATTATGTTTTTTCATTTTTATCAACTTTTCCCTGGTGCAGCCCACTGTCTCAGTTGGCTAGAGCATCGTGCTAAAAACGCGAAGGTCGTGGGTTCGATTATGGGACAAATGGTTCAATTTTGCTTTCTGATCATAATTTGTCACCGTAATCGTCATTGTAGTTTATAAAAGTTTTTTTTTTTCCTGATGACTTGAACAATTCAAATCAATATTTATGTAGATATGCTGATTTATACAAGCTTTTCTCTCTGGTTATACACAATACAAATATCTTATTAAAATATCATTTTTTGAAAAAAAAGAAATTTATATAGGGGAGAGTGGGGTCAATTGTAACAGGGTACGATTGTAACAGAGNTAGCTCAGTTGGTTGGAGCGTCGTGCTAATAACGCGATGGTCGTGGGTTCGATCCCCCCATGGGCCAGTGGTTCAATTTTGTCTTCGGATCACAATTTGTTAACGTGATCCTTATTGCGGCTTATTATAGTTATTTTTTTTCCTACTGTCCTAAACAAATCAAATCAATATTTAAGCAGATATGCCGATTTATACTAGCTTTTCTGTCTAGTTATACACAATATAAATGTTTGACCCCGAACATCATTATTTTTTTACTAAACATGTCTGCAGCAAGGCCCATTAGCTCAGTTGGTTAGAGCGTCGTGCTAATAACGGAAGTTCGTGGGTTCGATCCTCCCATGGGCCAGTGGTTCAATTTTGTCTTCGGATCACAATTTGTTACCGTGATCCTTATTGCGGCTTTTTATAGTTTATTTTTTCCTACTGTCCTAAACAATTCATATCAATATTTATGCAGATATGCCGATTTATACTAGCTTTTCTGTCTAGTTATACACAATATAAATAATTGACCCCGAACATCATTATTTTTTTACTAAACATGTCTGCAGCGTGGCCCATTAGCTCAGTTGGTTAGAGCGTCATGCTAATATCGCGAAGGTCGTGGGTTCGATCCCCCCATGGGCCAGTGGTTCAATTTTGTCTTCAGATCAATATTTGTTAACGTGATCCTTATTGCGGCTTGTCATAGTTTATTTTTTTCCTACTGTCCTAAACAATTCAAATCAATATTTATGCAGATATGCCGATTTATACTAGCTTTTCTGTCTAGTTGTACACAATATAAATGTTTGACCCCGAACATCATTATTTTTTTACTAAACATGTCTGCAGCGTGGCCCATTTGCTCAGTTGGTTTGAGCGTCGTGCTAATAACGCGAAGGTCGAGTTCGATCCCTCAATGAGCTTTGGGTTCAATGGTTGTTTGCTTTTTTACGAAGACTTAACGCTGCCTTATACACAAAGTACGAAGAAATTATTTTTAAAAAAAAATTTCTGCTTTCTTTTGAAATATTAAGAAATAAAATATTGAAAGTATTTTATAAATTAGACCTTTGAGAATGGAGTTTCTATAATCTCTTAATTTTTAGATATCATTTTAATTTTACATATAGGTTATCTTAAAATGCGCATGCTTTATTTCATGTTAATATTGTTATTATAAATATGGATCCCACGATTCCGCGATGTCAGAGCGTTCCCAACGTGGCTTTTCTCTGTTTTTGTTACTGCGTCCCCTCTTTGTTTTTACGTCAGATATGGATCTGCCACATAACATTCATCCAATTTGTGTTTTCTTTTTCCTTTTTTTCATAATATTAACCAAAAATCTCTCTTTTAAGAAATTGGCAGACTAATCAAGATATGCAATCTGCAAAGGTTGCCCGCGCATGTCGGCATGCCTAGAAACGAAGAGGCAGATCAACTTGCCAAGGAAGGGAGACATCTCAATAATGAAACTATCGTCAAGGTCTCTCTTGACGATGTTAATTCGATCGCAAATTTCCGTCTGAGAGAAAACACCCTTAAAAAAGGCTCGCTGATTTGTGAAATAAATGCAAATAGAGACCTTACCAAAACTATCCTCCGCCTCCTTAGAACTGGTCTCTATCGAAGTATGAAGATCCAGGGAGATGGCAATAGTAGAACCTCTGCAGTAACTGTGATGATATTCCACTAACACCAAAACATATTTTTGACTGCCCTGCCAGCTCTCTGACTCAGCTTGGGGAATTCTCCCCCTTTGACATCGAGAGTGTGTACTCCCACAACATCAAGGAGTTAGCCGGTTGTGTTTAGCACACTCATGGATATCTATAGTTCTCCTCATGGACACGACACCAACCAACCAACTAAATATCGTACATGCTTCATCGTAAGTATAATGGGGTACTCCCACATCCAGAGTTTGTGCTTTTAAATCAAAAATACAGAATACTTTTTCAAACTACTTTTAATTCTTTTTTTAAATTTTTTTTGAGGGGCGGGGGAGTTCCGCATGAGAAAAAAAAGAAAATTTTACCATTGTACTGTGCGAACAACGAAAATCATTGTAAATAAAAGTATCGTATAATTTTGTGAAATTCAGACATGAAACCGTAAAGACCGTAGATTGGGGAGAATGAGCGTCATGAACTGGTCAGCAATTACACAAAAAAAAAATTTTAAATAAACATTTTGGGCATGTTACATGATTTGAACGTAGAATGCACTAGATTATTTTCCATGGCGTTAATTGAGCGAACTAAACGAATGCAAGATAAAATAATTTTTTTCAGAAAATTTGAGATGAAATACCCATTGTCGGACATGTGCATGGAATATTAGAAATGAGAAAAGCTAGTACGAGTTTTCATTCAGAAGTTTAAAGAAAATCATAATACAAATTATGTTCATTTTCCAGGCTAAAGATCTTCGTTTGTTTTTTATTTAAATGTTTTTGAAAAATTTGTTACAATATTAGTTATTTACTTCCGTTCATTTTTAGTAAAATGATCTAATTTGATAATAAAACGTTTTTTGTATTCTCTGCTCAAAAAAATACATGAAATTCTGGAAAAATTCATTCATAATAGCAACTTTCATTAGCAAATTAATTAGCAAATTCATTCATAACTTTTTTTTTAAAAAAAATAGAAAAAAAATTTTTTCTTTATTTATGGCTATATTTTCTCATTTAAAAGCTTTAGAGCAGGGGTTTCCAACTTACATGAGGCCGGGGGCCGCGATTAAAAACACCAGTCAAATGGCTGGCCACAAATTTATCAAAATTTTATATAGGGCTCTTTTATGTTTGAAGTAACATAAAATTTTACGGTCAGATTCTTATCAAGTTGTACAAAACAAAGTATTGAACTACACATTAAATGACATCTAATATATTTTAGTTCGCGGGTTACTAAAAGGCTTGGTGGGCCGGATGTGGCCCGCGGGCCTCCAGTTAGTAACCACTGCTTTAGAGCAACATAGCTTATGCAAAGAAATTAATTACTATACCCTCATTCATTACATTTTCAGAAGGAACTGTAACAAAAAAATTTGCAATTAACTATGTGTACTATGCAGGGGGAAAAAATTTTTGTAAAATTGCCCTGCTGTATAGTAATGACCTTTTCGGTGGGAAAAAAACATAATCCTCATAATAAAATCAAAGCATATGGTATTTGAACTATTCTTTTGGAAATTTTTCGGTTCATATGGTAATGGTTTACCGAAAATTCTGGTTTTCAATATTATAATTCTCATTACTACACATTTAATAAAAAATACCGAATTGAAAATTAAATTTTTTCGAATGAAGGATTTTTATGCCACGCTCTAAGATAAAATTACCAAAGTTTACCATATTTATCAAATTTTATCATTTCTGTATTATGAAACCATATTTTATTATTAATTTTACCAATATAATTACCAAAACGATTTGGTAAAAATTACGGAGCTTCTGGGTGTTTCAATAGAGCCAGAAACACTGTTAATTTTAATATATGCTGGTTTTGACAATACTATTTTTTGCTTAATGTGAACATTGGAGTTTTAAAAAGCTTAGAAAAAAGCTTTAAAGAGAATCGCAATCAAAACAACACATTTTGTAGAGATAGAAGTCTCTCCAAAAAAAATTTTCTATTTATTTATTATTATTTCTTCAATGAAAACACATTTTATACACTTATTTGCTTCACCATTCAAGGCTTAAAAAATTATTTTATTCAGCTAAGTAATTTAGTTTTGAATTATTTTAAAATCAACAGAACTAGACTGTATTTATATTAAAAACAAACATTTAAATTAACAACATACTGTTAGATTGTGTCCCACACATACGAAAAATCATTGGATAAATGAAAGAAAGAAAAACCTCACATAACATTATGACAGTTTTCCAGCTAAATTAATGATATTTTTATTAATTCGCCGTTAAACTTAAGAAAACTAATTGGGTAAATAGAAACTTAAGCTTTGTCTATCATAACACTTATTAAATATTAGTTGTAAATCTAGTTCTAAAACTGACAGATTTTTAAAATGGAGTGAAATCTGAAGCTTAAATGCTTTGTTACACAAACTGGTTATTTCTAAAGAAAAGTCGCTTCTCCAAAAGGAACTCTTCATTAATTTATTTAATTTTTACAACAAACAATCATAAAAAATAAAATTTCTAAATAAAATATAGATATCTTCCTCAAATTATCCTAACAATATTTAAGAAAACCTATGCACAGTTCGTAAAGAAAAAGAACACCATGATTCAGATCACCCATTAGATTTTTATATGTTCTAGGACTCAAACTTAATGTTTCAAGACCTTAAATATGCTAATTAATTGGTTCACGCGATATTTAAAATTACAAGCTCTGACATAAAATTTTATTTTCTCTAAATAAACATTTTTTTTCGATGGTTCGAATTTTCGACATTCAAAATATGGGAGATCTGGAAAAATTGATCCCTATTGTTCGGACAGGAGAATGGTCGTCCCCTAAAAGTTAATTTCATTTCTTGAGTATTTCACCATATCTCCTTAGTAATGTTATACACGAATATGAAACTTCTTTACTGAAAAATAATTAAATTCAAAAATGCATTATTTATAACTTATTATTCATAATTTTTTATTGATAATTTATTATTTAAATTATTTATTAATTTTCATTATTTATTATAAAGATGAGCTGAAAATTTTGAATTTAAAGGTATACAAATTTTTACTGACCTTTAATCTATGTAATTTTAAATGGTACAATTTCCAAATATGAAGGGAATCGGTCGATTAGTTCTTGCGAAATTATAATTTAAACAGATTTGAAAGATCTAGGATTTGAGCCAGTCCAAAAAAATTTTTCTTTGATCTCCGATTTCGTAACTTGAATAATCTAATAAATCAGCCTATTTACGGTAAGGAACGATTGAGGCCTAAATCATGAATATCAGAGAAGAAAAGTTATTCTCTCTTTCATTTTGTACAATGCAGAGCGTGAAAACATTAGCAAAAATTATGTTCAATGGACACCCCTTTGAAATCTTTTATTTGAATCTTATTTCTTCCTAACTCACAACAAAGAAGTTCTCCAATCAAAACAGTTGTAGAAAAAACCCATCCCGCGACTAAAGATATAAAAGCCCCCACAATATCCATCGATGTCAAGGCTCTGGTTTCGCTTGATGTTGCTCTAGAACTTGAGAACTTGCTGGGTAAAAGCAGTTTAAAAAAGTAATCGTTCGAGATCTTCTGATACAATCCAGCTTCTGTCAATCTTAGAAGAAACATATCAAGTTCTTCTCTGCAACAAAAATCTTCTTTTGAATATAGAACAACCCCAGAAGAGTATATATTGTCTTTTGAAATTGTTACTTGACTTAAAGGCAATGACTTGATTAAGAAATGTGGCATAAATACGGCAAAATTCCCTTTATTGACCGCGTTTAAAATACTTCGAGGTAAATAGTCAATCATCCATTTGTTTTGAAATATTCTCTCTCCTAAATTTCGAACAATGGATTGTCCACTAGTTCTCATAAATAAAGTCGTGCTCGCACCTTTCAAAACGGCGCATTTGTGTGTGCCGCTTTCAACAGCTTGATGCAACTTTAGAACTGTATCAAGTGCTGGTTCAGTAGTGGAAACCATTAAGTAAGACAATACTGTTGACGTGTACGAAAACACCAAAATTAAGCTGCCCAAGAGCCAAAATATTGTCATGGATCTATCTCCGAATGTTGGCGATATTTTAATCGGATATGGTTTCTGTAATAAATTTGCGACAACATTAAAAAATAAATCCATCATGCCAATTCGATCTCGATACAGGGAACGATGAATAAGAGGCATAATAATAACTAAAAACAGAATGGAGATCCATATCCAAATTTTAAAAGGAAAAATAAACGCTTCTGTTTTCGAAAGATCGCGCGGTTTCTTAACGACGAATCTGATTTCCCCATAGTCATATGGGGTGGATGGTGTACCGATTTTGGCTACGTCTTCAAACAAGCCAAGTCGCCCCATGCTGATATCTGAGTTGTTCGGGAAGCAATCATCTTTGACTAAATCTCTGTTTACTTCCTCAGAAGATCTTTCGACGAATGTAAGAGTAGTTTTAAAATTTTCAGAAATTATACGAGTTAATTCAGCTTCAATGCCACCAATAACTTTTACGCCTTCTTCAGTTCTGTTCACTTCGAAGGTATTTAAAGCAACTCCAATGGCAATTGTTAAATGTTCTGGAAATTTCATCTTCACTTACTTTTATCCTTTACACTTACTGATATTACGTCGTTGATTACGTCATTAATTGTATGCATAGTCGGTTACTGATGAAGGTAATCATATTATATTATTGATGAAGGCATTTACGTTACTGGCGAAAGCAATCCATTTCTATCGCTGAAGAAAACAATCATATTCCATTACTGATTTGAAGAATTTTATTCAATCACTGGTTTCGGATAGATTTCATCAGTATTAAATAATGATAAAATCAATTATATTTATTTACTGATTAAAGGAAATAATGTTCGATTTCTGAGGCAAGCAATTGCAGAACTGGGGAAAGCAATCATTTTTTATCACTGAAGAAAAAAATCCTATTCAATCACTGAAAAAAATCAATCATATTCCATTTCTGATTTAAACAATTACTTTTCAGCAATCCTGTTAATATACTGATGAAATTAATTATATTTACTTACTAATTAAGGCAATAATATTCTATCGCTGATGAAAGTAATCATATCGGGAAAAGCAACCATGTTATATTACTAATGAAAGCAATCTTATCCCATTGCTGGTAAATACGATCAGATTAAATTCCATTATTTATTGAAGCTATCTGATTAAAATGCTGCTAAAATCAATCATATTTATTTACTAAAAAAAGCCATGACATTTTGTGAACTGACGAATTCTGTTACTGATGAAACTAATCATACTGGGGAAAGCAATTATGTATTTATCATTGATAAAAGCAATCTTGTTCCGTTGCTGGTTAAAACAATAATATTTCGTAACTGATGAAAGCAATCATATTCCATTTCTGAAGAAAATAAGCATATCCCTGTGCTAAGGAAAGCACCCAGAATCCATTACTGATGAAAGCAATCACATTCCATCAGTGATTTAAACAATCATATTCCAGAACTAATAAAGAAATTATATTCCATTATTAATTTAAACAATCATATTTCATCACTAATGAATGGCATAAATTAAATTGCTAATTAAGCCATCAGAATTCAGCGGAAGCAAGTATTTGGCCACTTATACTAAACCAGAAAATTAATTTAAAGCATTTACATGTTAGTTATGACTAGTTATTTTTTTACATGACTAGTTATGCTTTGTTATGGATAATTCTTAACAAGAAAATCTCTTAAAGTGTCAAAACGCATACGCTATGAATAATTCTCAGCAAGAAAGTTCTTTAAGTTTCAGCAAGTATAGGCCATGGATAATTCTTAGCAAGAAAAGCTCTTAGTTTCAGAAAGCATACGCTATGGATAATTTTTAGCAAGAGAAGTTCTTAAAGTTATAGAAAGTATAGGCATGGATAATTTTTAGCAAGAGGCATTTTATATAAACTGTTACCTTAGAAACTTATTCTTGAAAAATAAACAAACAAATTAATTTCAAACCAACCAAAACAACACACATTTATCTTCAAAAAAATTCAATTGTAAACATAAAAGATAATAGAACTAGGCCATATGCAAATAAATTCGTCTTGCTTTGCAAAGTTTTAGCAAACATTTATATTGCGAAATCTAATAACAAATGAACATTACGTAAGCAACAAGCGACAAGAGCGTTAATCACTATTGATTCACAAAAAAGAATAAATTCTGTCATAATCAAGCATAGTAGTATTAATCCTTATAATTGACGTGTCTTTTTTCGTTGCGTGCCTTTAAACATGACATTAACGATTCATTAATATTACTCTTAGCATTCGTTTAGATAGTGCTATTAGACATTGCTTATTTTAAATTCTTTTTTTTAAATTTTTTGAATAATAATTTTAAAAAAATTTTAAACATGCACATTTCTAACTTTAAAAATAACAAGATTTTTGCTTATTTAATAAACGATAGCAAATTTAATTATTTACAAGGTACTGTCAAAATTTGGATCTTGAGTTTTGGATATATATTTAAAATGTAGTTTTAAAACCAGAATTTTAGCTATTTTATCAGATTAAAATTAATTTCCTTAATATTGGAAACGAAAACCGCAACAAAATGCTTGTTCCTGACGTTAAAAATGAAACATTTTTATTGCTTTTAAGGAATGATGCAAACCATCAAAATCTTATTTATTTAAGTCATTATCAGAAATTAGATCATGTGTTTTGAATCAATATTTAAGTAGCATTTTTGAAACTTTAAGAAGTTTTTTTAGGATATAGAAAGCGTCATTTTGATTTATTTTTCGAAAAATTATCTTAAATTTGCTGCTTTTCACGAGTTTTGGAAATACTTGTACTTTAATTTACAAAATAAAAGAAACTAGAAGCTTTGAATGTATAATGATTTGAAAAATAATGATGCTCTTTTAAATCTTCAAAATCCTTTATATTTTTTTAAAAACAATTTCAATGCTTTCAATGCTAACACCTTCAATAACTTACTATCGTGTTTAGTCCGCAACTTAAACTTCTCTTATCTCTTAATCAAAGAAAGTTTCATATTCTATAAATTATATATAGTTCNGTGAAAGAATCTTTGTGTAAGAATATGGAATGTGTCATCTAAGAGAACGCTTGACGGGCATGGTTAACTCGAAATATAATGAAAAGAACAGTCGTTAACGTAAACAAATGACATTTCAACAATCAATCAATATCGATATACCCACACTATGTCACCTGCATGTATCCCATTTAATAAACCTATCAAAAGATATGAAGAAAACTCTGATACATCAAAATATCATTAAACTAAAAAAGTCAGTTATAAAAAACTTTACCAATTCAAATCTATAATTTTTTAAGCTTTTTAAAGAAGAATTGCACTTTCTTAAATCAAAATAACCATGACCCTCCCTCTACCATTTAAGTATACTTATATACGTATCATGAGATATTTCATTAAAAAATAATCATAACGAACTACCAAATTATAATCCGACCAATAACTTCAATTAAGGCTATTCAGTTTTTCCAATCACCGCTAATAGCTGTTTTACTTTCTATTGATGCACCTAACCTCATGAAATATTTTATTAAAATTAGCTTTCTGGGAAAAAGAAAGAACCTATGAATTAGTTAAACATAAAAATATATTTAAATATTATATTAGATATTCAAATTTTTCCGGGAAACTAAAACTACTTTCTTTTGTTATTGACCAATTATTTTTAGTTGTACCAATTACAGAAATAGTTATAACTCAACTTACATCAATATCACACTTGCTAATCTTAACCATTTGTTTCTTTCATATCTGTATCAATTATCTAGTTTCAGACACACGCTAAACATTTTCGTGTCATCATTTCACAACAGCAATTACTGCTTCTAAACACAACTATTAAAATTGAGTCTTATTTCATGTTCAACGGCATCCCCTTTCCTTTAATCGTTATTTGCAACGCACAGAAAAATAATTTCAAAAACCGGTTTCATTTTCTACCCTATTAACTCTAATTTTAAATAATAAATGAGTTATTTTAAGTTACCGAGACAACTAATATTGCGTTTTAAGCACACATTAAGTTTTACTGATACAATGTTAAAAGTGCATTCATGTTATTTTCTACACATATGTTTTATAGCCTTAAATGTTTTGCTAGAATCTAGCATTTTACCGCATCGGTTTAAGATTATAATAAAAAATATATTGTACGTTTATTAAAAGGGCAAAAATATTAAAAATACTAATTAAATTTAATTTTTAGCACTCGAAAATGAAGCATGAAAACGTACTAACATTGGCTATAAACTCTCATCTGAATATGTTCGATGTAGATAGAACAAATGGACTGGAAGTTGTGGGTGGTATTGAAGATGGACTCACTCGAATGATGAGTCAAGCTCTGCGGACGAATCTTGTTTATGTAGAAAGAAACGAGGATAATATCACTGATAGAGATTTAGAGCCAAATGACTTATTTCCATATAACTCTGATATAGCCGTTGGACGGTTAGGACTCACAGAAGAATATGCAAAAATCGCTTCTCCTAGCGCCCCCTACGATTTTGGTGAAGTAAGATTTATAATCAGCCCACCAACACTGGCCTCAAAAGCGGAGGTAATTATTTACCCTTTCAGAATGCATGTCTGGATGGCTATTATCGTGATTCTTTTCTTGATGCCAATTATTTTGAGGTATCTGTATCGAAATCCAGCACACATAACTGATCTTTTTTTCGGAGTTTTTTCAAATCTTCTCCAGAAACAGTCTAAAATCAAAATATCGCCAACCTTTAGAGACAGGAGCCTGTGCGTATGTTGGCACTTTGGAGCTTTAGTAATAGCGTTGTCGTATACGTCAACTGTTTTGTCGTTTTTAATGTTGCCAAGGCGGCATCCGTCTTTAGATACATTGCCAAAATTATCGAGAGCGGTCGGCTCTGGCAGTTACAAATGTGCAGTCTTAGAAGGAGCAGGCATTTTAGTGTTCATGACAGGACAAGAGAATGTAAACGTAAAGAGACTCGGTGACAAAATCTTATCCAATGGTTGGCAAATCAAGTATTCTTCTCAAAACGTTCTAAAAGCTATAAATGACAACTTTGCCGTGATAATGCCGTATATTTTGATTCAATCTTTACCTTCTGACCGTATAATTTTATCCAGAGACAGCATATATTCAGCAAGTGTCGTCATGTTTTGCCGGAAAGATTTTTGTTGCCGTGAGAAGCTGGACAGAAGCATTCTTCGCATGACGGCAGCGGGGCTCTATGCCAAAAGTCTGGACCATTACTTCTTTAAGAAGCAGTTGCGGAACGAAATGGCGACTGTGGAGAATTCCATGAGTGGTGTCAGAGCACTCACTTTGCATGACGTCATGGGTGCTTTCACGTCATTGGTAATAGGATGGCTCATGTCTATCGTTGTCTTTTTAGTAGAAGTCTTATATAAATCCAGCTTTAATTGCATGCTCCAACACAGTTGTAAAACTCTACATCAATTGTCTTGGAGAAGAGACACAATTTATCGGTTTTAATAATCAAAGTACATAGTATTATAGAAATGACTTGGCTTTTTGGCTGCTATATCAATGTCCGTTGTAATAAGGTCATCTTCTCTCTTCACAAAGTGTAAAGAATTTTTTAAAAATGAATTTTATACGAAAGAGCCAACTTCTACCGTATTGAGGAAGCATTTCTATCTGGTGGTAGAAAAATTTATGGCTGTCTACATATATGAGTATCAGCCTATATTAAAATGAATTTTAAGCTGTTTTGTCCATTTTTAAAAGTAAATAGTTCAAAAGTTCACATAAAATTAAGTATTAGCAGTAAACGGCGCAAATTTATTTTTTTTGCTGAAACGAGAAAATAGACAGTGGGCTTTTTGCTATGTTCCCATCTCAAAGTATGTGTTTAAGAAAACGGACACAGGTGAAAATGCGCGTCTAGGAAAACAGATACTACTCAAAATGCTTTCTTAAGAAAATGGACGCAGCTCAAAATGTGTGTTTCAAAAAAAAGACACAGTTCAAAATGCGTGTCTAAAAAAACGGACACAACTTAAAATGTGTGTTTGAAAAAACTGACAAAGCTTAAAATTTGCGTGTAAGAAAATAGACATATAGCTCAAAATGTGTGCTTTAAAAAAATAGACACAGCAAAAAATGCACTAAATTTCTACCCAAATTTCACAACTAAACGAGGAATTTTGTACTAACTACTCCTTACTTTTTTTTTAAATACTAATCATTGGATCAAGTTCGAAACTTGGGTGTCAGGTTGGCTGCTGGTGTAACTTCTCAAACTCCTCTTCATTTTCAGAACACTAAACGGTTAAGTGGTTTTTAGGAATCTAAATTCCTGCAACATAAATTTAGTATAATTATTATAAATTCATCGAGTCCGTGACAACGGTCTGGATGAATGACAACCGGCTCGTTTAAAAGCATCTGTTGACTTTTAAAGTATTTTCAAAATTCGAATTCCAAAAAAAAATTAGAAGGTTATTTATGCAAATGTACAACATCATAATACGAATTTATTTCGATCTAAATTCCTGCAGCAAAATCTAAATTCCTACAACTTAAATTTAATACCACTATTATATATTCATAGAGCCCTTGACAACCTTTTAAAAGCATCTATTGACTTTTAAAATATTTTCCTAAAAGACTAATTTTAAAAAAATTACAAGGATTATTTACGCAAATGGATGACATATGGCGAATTTATTTTTATTCATTAGTTTATCCTGTAAAAAATTAAAAGAGAAATTTGGTTAACTGAATAAAATGCTTCGCCCATTTTCTCAAATAGATATTAGGGGCTTTGGTCTAGGCTATCTTGACCGCAAAGCTTTAGTAAAATCATAACGTCTAGGGCTGGAAGATAATGAAATCAAATAATAAAAGTAACTAATTTCTAGCACAATAGCTTTCACACTAAATTTTATACTGGATACACTGCGCGTTGTTCAGATTATTCCTCTTTTTTCTTATCAGTAACCAATAAAAGCAATGATATACCTAATGATGTAAAACTTCTTAAAAAAGAATTATGATATCCTATGCGAATAAAGAAAGGATATTAACCTAGCTGAATTTTAATTCTTTTAATACATTTTATTAAACAACTCCTTATGCTCCACAATGTACAACATGAGGCTTACTGAAGTAAGTGTGCAAAGTACAAAGGAAAATAAAAATTAAAAAGATACATATAATATATATGCTACGGTGAATGGCCGAAGTCTCGAAAATGTCGACATTCACCGGTGAATATCAACATTCACGTATTCGCTTGGTGTATGTCCAAAATATTTGCTAAATACCCTAATTTCTGACTTTCACCGGTGAATGTCAACAATCACATAGTCGCTTTGGTGAATGTCCGAAATATTTATTACATTCGATTTGATATGAATTTATTCGTGGATATAATTACATTTATTCGATATTTTAATGCTTACTGACAATAGATCAGAAGAAACATCAGTGTTTGGAAACATCAGAGTATCGGGACATACATTTACATTTGCCCGGTATACCCTACACTGATGTTTTTTAAGGTTAAGTGACACTGCCCGGTATACACCAAGTATCGGGAAATTATATACCGGGCAATGGCACTTGACCTTAAAAAACATCAGTGTAGGGTATACCGGGCAGTGGCACTTGACCTTAAAAAAACATCAGTGTAGGGTATACAGGGCAAATGTATGCCGGGCAGTGGCACTTAACCTTAAAAAACATCAGTGTAGGGTATACCGGGCAGTGGCACTTAACCTTAAGTGGCTCGGTATACCCTACACTGATGTTTTTTAAGGTTAAGTGCCACTGCCTGATATATATTTGCCCGATACTCCAAGCACTGATGTTTCTTCTAATCTATCGTCAGTAAGTATTGAAATACAGAATAAATATAAATATATCAAATAAATATAATAATATCAACGAATAAATTAATATAAAATTGGATATAACAAATATTTCGGACATTCACCAAAGCGACTATGTGATTCTTGACATACACCAGTGAAAATCAACAACCACCTATTTCGGTCATTCGCCGTAACATATAACACATAATCCCCGGTCTAAGGAACCACAGGAAAGAAGCTCATTACTGAAAAAAGTCTTATAAGTGAAAAGCCCAAAGCTCTAAAACGCAACATAAATTGCAATGAGAGCATTAATAAAATTATTCCATAAAATATATGTTAACATTTATAATGGCTTTATGTTTATCCCATAACTATACAAAGAGAAAGGAAATTACAGCATACCAAATAACAATTTATTTTTCTATAAAATAGTTCATAATAGATGTTTATTTTAGTTTTTGCCGGTAAATTTTAGAAACAGTAAGTTCATACAAATAAGAAAAGGTAGATAAAAAGGTTTCAGTAGCTAAATTAAACTGCAAATAGTCACGAATAGTGGCGAAACCTTTAACTCTTTTGTATGATTTCGAAGAACTTTTTCGTCGTCTTCGATTTTACCGAAACTGAATAACAGTAATCGCTATAAGTTCGCTATAACTTAGCAGTCCTTTACGAAAAGACTAACGTAACGTAACTGACGTGAAACCTAACGGTGCATAATAAATTTTTAAAGCATGTGTAAAAAAAGTCTTTGTCATTACATACTGCATAATTGTTTGATTATTATAGTCGCTAAACAGACCACATTTCCTTTTATTTACCCAAGATAACTATTTGACTGCAAGCAAGTGACCACAGTCACTTGCATCTTTCATATTCTAGGTGTCCTTTTTCAAGAAAGTATGGGAGTAAAATTAACAAACAACTGGGCTTGAGGTAAGGCTTGACGATGGATGGATTTTCATTGTGGGTGGTGTAATAGATAAGGCACCTTATTCGAAATCATAGAAAAAATGTCTTTCTAGAATCAATAAAGGTGAAAAAATCGAAAGGGGAAGAAAAACGAACTATTTCACTATATTCAGCGACATATTTCATCTTATCTGTAACAAAGATCATTTATTTGCTTCAATTTACAATCTAAAAACTGTTTTCTAAAAAAATAAGTTTTTTTTTTCAATTTAAAGAAAAAAGTTAAAACTTTTTGGCTTTTCTAAGAAAAATTTTGGCGCATAATTGACATATTTATTTTCAAAGTGGCGCATAAACGAATGATAGTGCTATGTCTCTTAAATATATAGTCATTCAAGTTATAGATATCATAAACATCTAACAAGAGAAGCATACTTCGTATAGCTATATCTGATATTTCAGTTTGTATTTTTTTAATGTTTAACTATTTGGTGAATTGACATTTGAAGATAAAGGATGAAGAACGATTTAATTCATTAAAATTGATACTGAGAAGAAGAAGAAAAAACAAATTTCAAGGTTGACCCCCTTTCAAGAACCCTTAATAAATGTCCCATATATAGTCAACATTCAAAAGGGTTTAGGTTAGCTAGTTGTTGTTGTTGTTCATTTACGTCGCACTAGAGCTGCACAATGGGCGGGTACAATGGCAACGGTCTGGGAAACATCCCTGAGGATGAACAGAAGACATAATAATCACAATTTTGGCCTTCTGCAAAGGGGATGGCACCCCCGCTTCGAAGATCTGAAGTTGAGCACCTTACGCTAGAACAGTTTAACTAGGACCCATACCCCACACCCTTGGTCCCTACTCAGACTGATCCAAGTGGTCACCCACCCGCACACTGACCGCAGTCAGTGATGCTTGACTTCGGTGATCTGCTGGGAACCACGTCTTAACGGTCAGTCCACTGCGGGACTAGGTTAGCTAATAATACTATTACATATCGCTGGTTCAAAACTAAAACGACACTTCTGCACTAACTTCTCATTCAAATAACATGAGGGGTGAGTGCAGAAGTGTCGTTTTAGTTTTGAACCAGCGATATAACATAACAGCCGGCCAGGTCGCCACGCGGTTTTGCGTGCCTGGCTGCTAAGCCGACGTCTGCAGGTTCGAATTCTGCTCAGGGCATGGATGTTTCTCTCTGTGTCTTGTTTTTGCTGTGTGATATTCTGTTGAAAAAGAAACACTTTTTCTCAGCACGGCTCATCTTCACTGTGTAACAACTATCCAAAATAACCAATTTTCTATGTCATTGATTTGTCAAATCTTCCTTAATACCCATTAGATGGCAATTCAATCATCATTTTTGTGAAAAATAGTCATAGACCATTCTCACCCTCTGATCTACATTTATGAACGTAACAATAATAATGATTTACTTATTTGAATGAAAAAAGATTAAGGTTTAAGAGAGAAAACTATTAAAGAAAGTAATTATAAAGAGTGTAGGTGACCGAGAAGATTTAGAAAAAAAAATTCAAACAAATTGCTGGGCACTCTGGTCGACTGGTCTCACTGCTCTGCAAAATATTATTTAGCGTGGAGGTGACAGGTTCGATTCCCATCGTTATATCCTTCCTTAACTTGGCCTCTAGTTTTTCTTCTATTCTAGGACTAAAAAATGTACTTTTTTAATTAGCACAGAAGTTTACATATGTATAAGTAACAATAAA